CTGGCAATATGACCTTTGGGTTGTTGCCAAATCAAATCAAAATTTTTTTATTTTTTTATTTTTTTTAGTTATATCAGGAGAGTAAAACCCTAATACAAGTAAAATGGAAAAATGAAGGTCTGGTTTCAAAACCAAAACTTTGATATTTTCTCAAACGCCTTTAGCCATTAGACCAAAGGTTTGGAGTAAATCAAATCAAAATTTTATCAACCTATACCCTTAGACAATGTAGATAGAAAAAAAATTAGAAGTGTCGAAATTCATACCTAAGACCTATTGAATGCTAATTTTTAAAATTAATTGTATGAATTAACTATGATAAGATCTCGATTCTATGCTAATAATATTAAATATATCACCTATGATCTCAATTAACTTCTTTTTAAACATATACAACTAACATGTTTTAAACCGTCCATGTTATATTAATCAAATCATTTATCATTAAATTTTGTTTCTCAAGATAGGGCATTGACCCTTAAATCTCAACTACGGAGATTCAGTTTTTTTATACTAATTCTAAATAGTTAAAAAAATAGTTTGAGTAGAGGGATTAAATTTTTATTTTAGAAATTGATATTATTTACACACTTTATTATGATTATTTATCATATTGTTTTACACTTTGAAAGTGTTATTTGTCTCAGCTATCTGGTAGTGGGGATTGACTTTTTCCACTACAATTATACCCAAAAGAACAATCAGAGTACGAAGAACACATCATATAATTATTATTATTACTATGATCTTTTTTTCTTTTTTTTAAATTTTGGCAAAGTCGACGAAGAAATTTTATGGACACAAGCAAATGTTTCCCAAGGAAAAAGAGGTAGTCATATTCAAGATATATGGCCTTTTTCACTATTACAATAATTTGCTTGAGGCTTTATTATATTTCTGTCATGGACACAGCATAATCTCGAGCTGTGTCCACTAATGTTTGCTACCTTTTCTTGCCATAATTACATCATTTTTGTTGGTATCTTTTTTTTTTTTTGGCAGACATTTTTGTTAGTTTAATTTCTCCCTCTTATGTATTTGTTTGTGTACAAAATAAAATAAAAAATAAATGTAGGTTCCTATATTATTGTGCTGGGGGGAATATCGCTACCTACCAAAGTTGAATTAATTCTTGATCTAATTAGTGATTTCTTCATGCTTCAATAAATGTTTGAAATGTAAAAGAATTTTCAAAAAAAAAAAAATTACTGACCACTGACGAGTGTCTTAAAGGTATTTTTTAAGATTATTATATTATTAAATAATATATTTTCTTAACACAATAAAATCCATTAAGTTAACTATTAATTATTTCATTTAATATAAAATTACTATAATTAGTAACTTAATTAATTTAAAAAAGTGCTTTAAGGTCACTCATTAACATTTTTTTTTTGAATTTCTTGAAATGAAATGCATTAATAAATTAAAAAGAGATAAAAAATAAAAGAAAATTTCCCAATTTTTAGAAAAAAATTTGCCAAATAGTTACTGGTAACATGATTGCGGGACCTTCCATTATGGTCGAATTATTTTTCATGTATGCAAAGCCTAATAGAGGAGACGTAAGGGACTTCCCCACAATTAAAATAAAGAAAAAAAAAAAGGAAAAACTATAGTATAGGATACTAGGTAGCTAGCTTCATTAATTAATTAATTTTAATTTACTTTTGCTGATATACTTTTTTGTAGATTAACAAAAGTTGAAGGTAAGAGAGACTTTTTCGGTCCAAAAATAATAAGATAGATAGTAAATTTTAAAAAAATTATTTTAAATTTATAAGTTATTCACAAAAAATATTAATAAAAAAATTTAAACATAAACTTTATAAACAAAATATTCCAAACTTAACAATTCAACCAACTTCCATCTACTTACCACCTATGCTCTGACTCTACAGTTTACGCTGATATAAGAAAATGAACATTACTTTGAAACTAAACTAGCTAGCCTACAAGTCTATAAATCAAACTCTACCTTTCTTATTTTATATATTATATATATGCCTCACCTACCACCTTAGCAAAAAGCATACATATATATATATATATAGTTCTATATGGACCGACTTTAATTTGTTTGCATATGATAATTAAATTGTATATATTATCAATAATAAATTTTTAAGTATTTTAAATGTTTTTATGAGATTCAAAGTTTAGAATTTATGTAGTATGCATTAGTATATATATATATATATATATTGATATATATGGCGGATGTTTAGGGAACTCTCGAGTCATGTCTTAAATATGTCACATTGCATTAACATATTGATATATATATATATATATATGTCTTATTCATCTTGAGAATACATAGAGCGTCAAAGCTAGACCACATACATTACATGCATTAACATACTACAATATTGACTATATTTTCACTATTATATATATGGTATTTTTTGTTTTATGGCAAAAAAAAAAAGAGATTATGATTAATTAAAAATATATATTTTTCCAAATTAATCTTAATAAAATCAGTTATAATGTAAAATTTTTAGGCATCTAAAAGTAATACAAGTTATTACTATAAATAATATATTAACTAATAATTTAGGGCACTTGTTAACAAAATTCATGAGATTAAATAAACATGGATAATTTCTGATCATGCTTTTTGTTTTCCTTTATTTTTATTTTGTTTGGTAAGTTTTCTTTCTCCTTTTTATTTATCTTTCGAAGCATATTCTGGCTATTTTAATGGAAGAGATGAGCTGGGACAGCATATTTGAGACTTTGGTCGAGCAATATCCCATTTGAAAATGAAGAATAGAACAAGAAAATGACAAAAGAAAAATATTCGTTTATGTTATCCCATCTTTTATTTATTTATTTTGGGGTGAGGAAACAACCTCATCGAAAACATGAACAAACAGAAAGACAATGTAGCCTCGTAAGTATAATTTACTAACATAGACAAAGTGTATACGGCAATGCATCTCTCATTACTTTAAATTTCTTAAATTAATGGCCTTTTTTGACTGTTGATGATCTTTTTATTTACATGACATCCTTGACGTGAATTTCTTCAATTTTAGACTATAATAGCTAGACACATTTTTTTACCCAAAATGGGAATTTATATAAATATTTTAAATCCAAGATAAATAAATTGTTCACCTCTTGTATTAAAATAATATATTTTATTCGATCTACAAATATACTACGACTTGAATCTAATTAGATTAATAATAGTCGATAAAAATATATTTATCGATGCATTAACTCTTTCTAGACAAAGGATTGAATTTGAAATCATTGAATTAATATGGCAAATTATGGGATCCAAAAGAGAAAGGAAAAAATTGTATTTTTCTTAAAGATAAATGATCAAAGTACATTTAACCTTTAAAATGTTGAGGTGTAGACCGGGTATTATTATTATTAAGCGTTCAAATTCCGTTAAAGGCCCAATGCTTTTGCTTCCATTCTAATATTGACATTGAAGTCAACAATGGTTTGTTTGATATATCTTCATCTACTATATTTCAGCTCATATATATATATTATAATCCCCCATTTTCAGGGTTGAATATAAGCTATGGTCTATAATTACCTTGATTTTTAACAACCTTAATCATGATGACAATTGATTAGCAAGGCTTGCAATATTTTTGTTGGTTTTTTTTTTAGCTATAAGGGGTTTTAAGATTTCATATAATATATATATATATATATATATTAGATTGATTTAAGCAAGTTTATTTATGTGATATTTAACGAATTTATGAAAAATTATCTTTTCACGCTCCCTCCATTCAAACTTAGAGAACTAACAAAGAAACAAACATTCATAAGTAATTAATATTCTTTACCAATATTAGTAATTAAAATCATTTGCTATAAGGGGTTTTTAGATTTCATCTAATACATATATTTTTTAGATTGATTTAAACAAGTTTATTTATGGCATATTTAATGAATTTATAAAAATTATTTTTTCATAATCTCCCAATTCAAAAGACAACTAAAAAAAAAAAAAAACTCTCTTTATCAAGCCACATTAATTGGTAATTAATATTCTTTACCAATATTAGTAATTAAAATAAAGTTAGGTAGTGTTAGGGAGATAGATCTTTATTCTTTATTACCCATTTAGTAATTAATAAAATCAAGTTAGGTAGGCTAATTAGGGAGATAGATCTATAATTACAATACATCTTTATTACTAATTAGTTCCAGTCTGAAAATTAAAGTTGATGACTTTGCATTCTGCTTGTACAATTACTTGAACAAAATTTGAAGCACTCTCCATTCAAGTTTAGGAATCAAGGATAAGGTCTGGTACACTCGTATAAAAAACCTAAGATTGAAGGGTTATTTATTTATTATTATTATTATTATTATTATTATTATTATTATTATTATTATAAATTCATGTATCATGTAAAATTGTCAGAGATTTTAGCTCAGCATTCACTCTTAGGTTGTATATATATATATATATATATATATATATATATATATATTTTATTAAGTATCCAAATTAAAAATTGATCATAAGTTAGGGTAAAACTTAATTTAATTAAGATAACAAAAAATCTAAGATATAATAAAGGTAGAATAATAGTACTTTAATAAGTTTTCATTATGTGTAGATGTAATTATCCTGTAACAAACTCAAAATAAATATGAATAAAAAATATACAAATTTTAATATGAATCTTGATATAATATTAATTAAATATTTAATCTGAAATCAATTGATTATATATAAAATATTCAACTTAAATATAATATCACAAAAACTTAAAATTTAAGATAACATATATATATATATATATATAAATATACAAACAAATAATAGTAAACAATAGTTAAGTGACAATGAAAAGAAAGCTTTTACCGATGCCCGCTAAAATTTTAACCAATGGATCAATCATGTCACTGTAAACGTAGAAAGCTGAAAGAAAAGTCTACTACCTCAAAACATAACTATAAAAATCAACCTCTCTTTTCTTTTCTCTCTTCGATAATATTAAATATGGTAGAGACAGTGTAGCTTTATTTTTCTTTTCTTTTGCATCTTGGAATTTTTTATCAGAGAAGGGAAAGGTGTGTGATTAAACAAAAGTATATTTTTTTAGTAGTTGAAAATTTAAGGAAAAAAAAAGGCAATTAGACAATAAAGAAAGAAGTTTTTTTTTTTTTTTTCTTTTTGGGAGGGCTGTGAAGAGAGCAGAGGAAAAGACAGAAAGTGCAATGTCAGAGTTGGCCCTGTAGGGTTCCCCCTTCTTTGGTTTGTGGTTTTGGGTTCTTGTTTTCAGACTGATTGATGATTACAGAGGGATTTCTTCTCATCCACATCTCTCTCTCTCTCTCTCTCTCTCTGCCCGAGTTTGATGAGCTGAGTCTTTTTCTTTATCCTTTTTTAATTTGGTTATATTTGTGTGGTTCTTGTTGGATTTTCTTTGTATCAGCAATTAAGGTTTTACTCAGAACATGAAGCTTAAAAGTGGATAGAGAGTTTTTTTCTAAGAAACAAAAACTGTCTCTTGGGTTGAGGCCAAACCAAAGAAAGAAACCATCAGAGGTCTATGATGAGGATCATGGTATTCATTTCATATATGCTAAGCCTAGATACTTGAGTTTATCTAGTATCAATTTTCTTTATCTTTTATCACCTGAGTTTGGTTTTTTCTTTGGATTTTTGCACCTACTTTTGTATGTAAAACCAAGATCCATGGTCCATGATGCAATCTGCAGATCAGTCCTAGAATTGGTTTTGTAAGAGAAGATGATGAAAGATTTGTTATTCCAACAACGACAGCAACAGCAACAAGCTTTGGAAGAGAATATGTCTAATTTGACTTCTGCATCTGGTGAAGCCAGTGCTTCTTCAGGCAATAGAACTGAAGCTGGCACCAACTATCCTCAACAATACTTTAGTACTCCACCACCTCGAACTCAGCTTGTTAAGAAAAAGAGAAACCTACCAGGCAACCCAGGTTTGGGTTTTTGTTTACTTCCTTAACTTCTGTTACTTTCCTTATCTGGGACTTTTTCTTTTAATTTAAAAAAATTATTGATGTTTTTTTTTTTTTTGGCTGGGGGGGTTGTGGATCAGACCCAGATGCAGAAGTGATAGCGTTGTCTCCTAAGACACTCATGGCAACAAATAGATTTGTGTGTGAGATCTGCAGCAAAGGGTTTCAAAGAGACCAGAACCTTCAGCTTCATAGAAGAGGGCATAATTTGCCATGGAAGTTAAAGCAAAGAGCAAGTAAAGAGGTGAGGAAGAAGGTATATGTGTGTCCTGAACCCAGCTGTGTGCATCATGACCCGTCAAGGGCACTTGGGGACTTGACAGGAATCAAGAAGCACTTCTTCAGGAAGCATGGTGAGAAGACGTGGAAATGTGATAAGTGTTCGAAGAGGTATGCAGTTCAATCGGATTGGAAAGCTCACTCCAAGACTTGTGGCACTAGAGAATATAGATGTGACTGTGGAACCCTCTTCTCAAGGTAAATAACTAACCCCTCCAAAATCACTTTGGGAATTAATGAAAACATGGAACATCAAAGTTCCATTTAAGCACAACAGTCAAATCTTCATTTATTGAGGTGTGCACTTGAGTATAATTTTGAGAAAAAAAAGGATTTTCTTTCCATTCTTTAGAGTCTGATACGTTAAACAATTCATTGCAACATGCATCTAGCAGTTCCTACTTTTCACATCCTAGAGAGAGATAGAAAGATGCCTGCTGCCTGGTATAGTATATATGGAAATTTTATGTGCACCAGCACAAGATGACAATCTGTCCTATGCTCGCAGAGTGAAAAAAAAATGGGGTGTAGAAAGGGAGAGGAGCAAAAGAGAAAAAGCGAGAGAGAAAGTCAAATAATTCTGGCATTGTCATAGCCCTTTATGACAGGGTTTGCTTTTGTTTGCTTGTGTTTTTCTCTTTTTTTTTTTTTTTTTTTTCAGGAGGGATAGCTTCATCACACACAGAGCCTTCTGTGATGCTTTAGCAGAGGAGAGTGCGAGAGCAATCACGGGAGCTAACCCACTTCTTTCCCCGCATCAACCAAGCCCATCATTATCAACATCTCACATTAATTTACAAGTACCCCAATTCAATCCCCAAGACATCCAACTCCAAGCATTTTCACTTAAGAAAGAGCAACAAAGTTTCACTACTCTAAGGCCAGAGATTCCTCCATGGCTCGCTAGCCAACCAATGCTAGGGGCTGGCCGGGGTCCAACACAGCCTATAGACCTTTCCTTCTCATCATCATCAATCTTCTCCACGAGATTAGATCATCAAGAGTTCACACAAACGCACCATCAAGATTTAACACTTAATGAAAACCCCAACCCTAACCCTAGTCTTGGCTCCACTCTTCCTCCCTACCATCCAACAACAGTACCTTCCCCACAATTGTCAGCTACCGCGTTGCTTCAGAAAGCAGCTCAGATGGGTGCAACCATGACCTGCAAAGCTGGCTCATCATCAGCACCAGCTACTACTGCTACTGCTGCAGCTGTTGCTACGTCCTTGATGAGACCCCACCAACAAACTCACGTGTCTGCTGATTCTGCTGGCAATAACAGTACAACAACAGCTAGTTTTGGCCTCAACTTGTCTTCACGTGAAGAATTGGCTGTAGGTAGTGGATTTATCCATGGCTTGGCTCCTTTCGGGAACCATAAACCTGCAGCTGCCAATGCTGGCTCAGGTGCTCCTCCTTCCCTTCTTCAAGACATGATGAATTCTTTGTCTTCTGCCACTCGATTTGACGTCACTTCCTTTGATGATGCATTTGGTGGGATTCTGAACACAAAGAATAGAGGGAGTTTCATCAATGAATCACTCTCTAAAACAACTACACCAACACCAACCACAAATGCCACTAGAAATGATAATCAAAGTACCGGTGGTAGTACTCAAGGTGAAGAATTGACAAGAGATTTCTTGGGTCTTAGAGCTTTCTCTCATAGCGATATTCTCAATATTACTGGACTTAATAACTGCATGAACACTTCGCAAGAACAACCGAACCAGTCTCAAAAAACATGGCAAGGTTAGGTAATACAGAAAGCCTTTTTTTTTCTCCTCTTTTAAACATCTTTTCAAACACTATATCTTAAATTTTTATATTCTCCCTCTTGTTTTATTCTGTATCTTTCTTTTTATTTGATTCTCTCCTACCTTTGCTACAATCTTTCCAAAGGGAAGAACCTCTTAAAACACTGATAGATAATATCACTTCCTTATATGTATCCCATGTTACAAATTTTTGCCTTTTTTTAAAGTTAATATTGGTATATTCTTCATGGATATATTTATGGTTTTATATGTAAAACCTAACATGAAAAAGGAAAACCCTAAGGCTAATATTATAGTTATATAATAATAATAGTATTAATATTGAGTGACGTTAATATATAACAAGAGCTCCCAAGATGAAAGCAACTTCATGATGAATGACATCCAATTTATGGGTCTAGTCTTTTAATGTAATCATATTTGTTAGGTTTTTTTTTTTTTTTTTTTTTTCAATTCCTAAGCGCCTTAATTGCAATTAAGAAACCAAATTTTAAATTTATCCTCGGTGCATGCTGAATTCAATTATAAAACGGCATCCACGACATTGTGTAAACACCATCCCACCATGCATTCAAAAGGTTCCGTAACTTGTCACACCATTTTTTTCAATTTAAAATTTTTAGTCATGGTTTGGTTTTCTGTTTACTACAAAAGATTAATTGTTTTATAATCCTGTTATTTAATTATCACAATTGTATTTTAAATCTAAATAAAAGGCATTCGATGATATATATTAGTATCAAAATTACACGATCATTGGTGGCAAGTTATGATTATGGTTCATGCACAAGAAATCTTAGAATAAATTTCAAATAATTATATTATGTTTAGGTCGTAATGGTTTAGAAAGAATATTATATTTGTGATGATGAAGTTGAAGAGAAATTAGAACTGGTATTTTTATTCCCTATGCCATTATAATTTTCAACATGTAATGATGATTTTTTTACATCAATTTCCAAGTGGGTTGAATATGGGGAGAGAATCCTAACGCTTTTACATTGCAAAAGAAATATAAACGAGTCTTGGCTTTCCTTTCATGGGAGACAACATGGGCTACAAAGTTATTAAGTACGGTTGGATAGATAATGAGATTGGTTTTTATGAGATTAAAAATAATAATAAAATTATTATAATTATGATTAAAAATATTATTATAATTATAATTAAAAAAATTTTATAAAAAAATTTATATTAAATAAATTTAAAATTAATATTTAAATTTAATTGATGATACAATGAGTTCAATTGTATAGCATTAAAATTGCAATAGAATCTAAACCCTCACAAAGTCGACTCAATTTTTCAAAAGGAAAATATATATGGTTGGCTCTTGGTAGGTACTTCTCATTTGCACTTGAGAGTTGATTTCGACGTTTCTGAAACAAAATTATGAATGCACGATACTAAAAATTAATTTTTATATATTTTAAAAAAAATTAAATTCGAATAAAATTTTAAAATATCTTTAACATTATTGCCAAAAATAATAATGAACCAACATATATTCCATCCCTTATCAAGTTCAATTTTGAATTGACACCGTGCATGATTGAGCATGAGAGGAAATATAAACAAAATTTTTAGTATCAAATTAATTTCTCCACAATTATTTGCTTTCTTACTATATACTTAAAAGACAAGTTTTCACCGTCTTATTATGTAAAGGCAAAACTTTCCATTATAAGGAAACTCGTGATGCTCCCACCCACTAGCTATGTGCCTATGTCCATACTCATGGTGGCCCCCCAACTCAACATTTTCTATGTTTTGCTGATTAATATAATCATATTATGTGCATAACAATATTCATATCAATTTTGATAAATGGATTTTTTTTTAATTCATGGAAATCAAATTCTATAACCCTTGTTCTCTCATATTTTGAATATATGTTTATATATATATATATATATATAATATAAGGGATATACGTATAGACAAGAATACAAAAGCATTGGATTCTTAAAGAAAAAAAACTTCGTGAAATGTGTGAAATGTGAAGAGATGGGCACGTTAGCTAGGGTAGATATGTTTTTGTTTTTTGGTTTTCTTAAAAACAAAAGAGAGATGCTGTTTGACATCTGGTGTGGGCGCAAGTGGGATTCAATCCCGAGGAAGGATCTCTCCAGCTTATTGTATTTAGGGTGATGTTTCTTTTTCATATATACTTTCTTTATTATTATTAGTTCTTGTAGTACATAGCTATAGTAGAAAAGTATTTACTGTAACATATGGGTTATTGTAAGTGAGTGAATGTGCAACAGCTCAAGTCAAGTTGTGTGCTTCAGAAATAACATAAAGAAATGGGTTCACTTAAAAGTCTTAAGCCATTTCAAGTTTAACATGGGTTGTTGGAGAGAGATCCCCATGAGGGCGTAAATAAAGTTTCAGAAAGCCTAAATGCTCAGAAACTCACGCACATAATGTATTCTGGTCAACGTGGGGGATAAGGTGCATGGCAGCCACATAGGATATTCGGTCCTATACATAGTGATCACAAGAAAATACTATGTTTTTCATTTGCATGATTCTGTTTCGTGTATATAGAACTGTTTATAAAGTTTTTATAATTTTTCATACATATATATACATATACATATACATTCTTCTTTGGTATAAAAAAATGATGCTAATATTTAAAAAAAAAGAAAATTGATAGAATATTAAAATTTTAATTTTAATGGTGATAGTCAATACTTAACATTCTCATATAATATATATATATATATATATTAAGAACAGTGCTAAAGATAAATATAAAAAAAGGTAAACTTTCTTAAGGAGTTTTGGAAAAAATATTAGCTATGAGAAAGTTAATTAATTAGTTTAATGGATAATTCTTAGAATGCTTTTCCAAGGAATATTGATGGAATGAAGTTTTTTAAAGTTGGTGTATAAATGAATCTGGAAACAGATATTCCTTTTTTTTTGCTTACTTTTGAGTACAAATAATAATGCACATTCATCTTCTCTTTGATTTGTAAATTTAAACTCAAAGGGTGATCTCCACTATACCAACTAATTAAGACTCAAAAAGGTTTCATAATAATTGCTCAAAAGTTGTATAGTAGTGCTAAAAAAAGGAAAATCATGCAGGTTGTGCATAAATTATATTATTCTAAAGAAAAATCTCTCTTTTCCTTAACTTCTTGTCCTTGAAGAACTGTTATGAGGGACATTAGTGTTGAGTAATAAAATCAGAACGTTATCAAAGTAAGGTATGATTAGCCTATCATAAGAAACAAAACTGGTTTTCTGTGAGAACCTTTACACACACAAAAAAAAAATAAAAATTCAGAGGGATATGTGAGAAAAGATGCTTATCCCTAAGAATTGCTATGTATTATTAGGTCAGTTTATAATAGATGTGTGAGCTAACTTTGAATGTGGCATTGGCACCCGTCGTTTCATTTTGGTTTAGCAAAAAAGGAACAAAAAAAATTAAAGTTAAAAAAGATACAAATCTAAAAGAGATTCCTCCCAAAATTTGAATACCCCACTCCTTCCCTTGATCTCATGTTTATATTGTAAGGCATGTTTAGCCTTCTAAAAGCATACTCTTTTCCCTTCTCTCTCTCTCATGTGTACAGAAAATTAAAAGAATACATGTTGGAATGCGACATGTTGGCCATTTTTTATATTGGGTTTTTCTTTTAACATGCATTAGTTAAAAAGAATGGAATGTTTGTCATTTATACACACATAATATTCTCTCTTAAGACAATAATATAGCAGAAAGGTAATGGTGTGGGTGAGTTGTGGGCTAAAGCACAATCCCCAAAATCCCATCTTGTCTGGTGGGGAACTTCTCACTTCTTAAAGCAAAAGAGAAAAAAAAAAAGAACAACTTATGGTGGTAGTATCACCAAAAAAGCTGCTAATTATCAAAGCCATGATAAAAAAATGATGGGGTGATTTTGTCTTGTTGTTTTGAGTATATTCATGGGTGTGGGCATTATGAGTACTAAAAATCCCAATTGACTTGTCATTGTAAAGATGATTCCTTAAGTCCTTCCACCCTCTGTGTTTTAATTATTTTTATGGTACTCTATGCCTTTATCTTTGACTTACCTTGAACCCCACCATTTTCATTTCTTCATTTCCTTTTTTTTTTTTCCTTTTCTTTGTAACAACCTTTAAGATTTTTTTCTCAAAGTTGATTTCAATTTTCACTTTCTCCATTATTAATTAATAAAATTTTCTTTTTTTTTTTATTTTACTAGTAATGCTTTTTTGGTTTTATATAGTTTAATGAAAGACAATATCTCCATCCAAAAACTTTGACTAAAAAAAAAGGTGCCACTTGAAAGATAATTAATTAGGACTATACCTGACCATGGGCATTGTTCAGGCCTACTAAAAACTTTAGTGGACTCTGGGGCCCAATATCTTAAGTTCAGGCCCACTGTTCATATCCACATTTCTTATTCTTGATGGAAACTCATTGTGTATATACTGTTCTTAATAAAAGCTCAAAATCCATAGGAAAGTGTCTTAAAGAGTAATTTTGTAAAGATAAATCATGTTCATGATTTTATTTTGTTTGTTAAATAGAAACTAGAACCAGGAAACAATATTAGCCTAAAAACCTTGTAATTTTGTTGCTTTAGTACTTCACTAACCTATTAAGACATTAGTTTCAAAGTCTTTAACTTCCACACGATTTAAGGGTAAGACACATATGCGCATATATATATATTGGTGTAATTAGAAAAAATTTACAATAAAATCATGTATATATATAGACTTTAATTATATAAAATTAAAATTTTATTTATTATATTATTAAGAAATTTTTACAATAAGTAAAATTTTTATAAAAATTTTTATAAATTATTTCCTGATTTTGATAAAAAGACACTATAAATTATCTCATACATATGATATAATCATTTTTTATTTGTATGAATTAAATTAGGATTGTTTGGTTTTTCTTATAAAAGCAAAAAGCAATAAATGTGTTCAATACAATAACTTTTAATGAAAAAACTTAATTTGTAATAATAAAAATACAAGATTTTATGTGAAATTATATATATAAATAATATGGAACAAATGTCACATATTTACTTATATATTACATATTGTCATTATAAAATGATAAAAATTTTACATATTTGATTCCTCTCTAATAAATTAATAGAATAACAATCAAACAAGATTTTATATATAATAAATAAATGTCCAAACGCGAAACGACAATCGTTTTGGCGCAATCCATTTTTGATTTAATGAAAAGATTTATTTATTTTAAAAAAATTATTACAGTCATCTCATGACTCACTCAAATAACACAAAAAAAGGAATAGTTTGACAGCAAGCGACACGACTATAGCTGAGCTTTAAATCAGCACAGCAGCAAGTAATGAATCGAAGTAAAAA